TGCTGGCAGCGATAGAACAGGGACTATGTGAATTCAGATGACTTTTACTCATTGGTATTGCCAGCCACCATTCTTTTATGTCTTATGTGAGCTTTTCCTCAAATCCACTGCTATTAAAGTCATTGTTTGAGAATTTTAGTGGGAAGGAAGAAAAGCTAATTTTTCCCCAAGTTTCTAGCTCTCTTGCCAATAGAAAAAGAGACTCTTGAAACATAACTTGAAAACATAACTCAGATGCACACCGAAGTTTCAGAAAACAGAAAGCAGAAAAAGAACCCAGCACTGATTTTTATTTTATCTCACGATTTTTGTGGCTTGAGTCATGATTTTAAATCTATTTCTACAGCAAATAACAAACGGAGCCAATAAGCAGCATTAGACAAAGAGATAGAAAGTGCTTTGGGTGTCACGGGCTCAGGATGAGAGGCATTGAGGGAGCTGTGGGGAGTGTGGGAGGGGGTTAAGGGGAAAAGCTGATCTCATTGCATCCCAACCAGACATCAGGCAGGAAACAGATGTGCAAGAAACCACAGAGGGGTACAGCAACAGAAGAATTAACTCTCCAGCAAATAGGGGAAGCTAGGACACACAGAGCTGACCTGCACCCTGAGAACAAGGCGTCTAATCCGAGATTTGGCTTTTTGCAGTCCTGGTAGCACCTCCTACCCCAACATCTAGACAACATCATACTAAAAACGAAGGAAATGATTCAGCCTTTCTCCAAGTCCTACCTGGCTTTAAGCAAATGAAGCAAAGGTAGGTCTGAATCAGTAGTGGTTCCTATGCAAAAGACTGGATTACGTTTCACCAGCACAATCAAATTTTCATAGATGCTGTGTCTATTTTCATTTTAAAAAATGGAAGTTGTACCTGGTTGTGGACCTGAAATCCCAGTCTGAATCTCCCACAGTTAGAAGAACTGAGAATATTAAACTCCATTTTGACTTAGTCCCTCTCACTTAACAGCTTTGACTTTTTCAGCCCCTTCTTACAACGCTTCTGTGATATAACCAGAAGCAAGACTACTCTTTGTGACTGTTTTCTTAAGCAGTTCAGACTGTCCTGCCCGAACTAAGGTTTGTGCACAACCTTGAGTCTTGTCTTCTCTACTGGCCCATCCATCACTAGAAAATTATACTGTTGCTATCACAGGAACTGGGGGCCTGATGTGCAGCTCCCATTGACTTCAGTAGAGGCACTATGTGCTTTTCTCCTCTGGAAACCAGGCTGGTTATCGAGAGGCCAAAATATGGCTGTAATGTTAATCCTTCAGGGCTAGTATCTGTTAGCTCCATTGTACCCGTACAACATTTTATTAAAGTTTGACACAGGAAAATGTTTTAGTAGAGGAAATTAGCGCTAACTTCCTCCTGCATGGGTGCCTATCCACACCCAAAGCCTGATACTGCTTTCTAGTGAAGCTCTGACACTCCAAAAGATCACTTGCCTCATGCGCGGATTCAGTGCTGGCAGCGATAGAACAGGGACTATGTGAATTCAGATGACTTTTACTCATTGGTATTGCCAGCCACCATTCTTTTATGTCTTATGTGAGCTTTTCCTCAAATCCACTGCTATTAAAGTCATTGTTTGAGAATTTTAGTGGGAAGGAAGAAAAGCTAATTTTTCCCCAAGTTTCTAGCTCTCTTGCCAATAGAAAGACTTGAAAACATAACTCAGATGCACACCGAAGTTTCAGAAAACAGAAAGCAGAAAAAGAACCCAGTACTGATTTTTATTTTATCTCACGATTTTTGTGGCTTGAGTCATGATTTTAAATGCTTAGGAGCACTGATAGCAGTCTGCCCCCATAAGGAGCATGACCAGTCTCTGTGTAGAGACTGCCAGCAGGAAAAGGCCAAGTAGGGTCAAATGCGGTAGTGACAGGAACTGACTTGAAATACAGTAAATTCAACACATCTGACCTTCGAACCAGCCACCAGACAGCAACATCTGTCCATCACCACTGACCTGGGTCAGATCTGGAGAATCAACTTAGGACTAAAGGCTTTGTATCACATTTTTAGTCTCCTGAGCTACCCTACTGTACCTGCTAAAGTCTTTCCATCTACACCACTCTTAAATACTTTTTAGTTCTGCCACAGCTTTTATTGTATTATCATAAGCTCTTTATAACAGACGCTTAGGTACATCTGTCTTGTCTGATAAGGGAGACAGCAGGATCTTTTCACCCTTCACTGAAATGCAGCCATCTCTGAAGCGGACCATAGCAAGTTATTAAACAGTTAAATGACAGGAGAGGAAATGCTGATACCTTAAGCAGAACATAATTCTCTCCACTGGAATTTGGCAATGACACAGGGACTAAGGTCCTTGCAGAAAGCACAAGCTGCTCTTCAACAACTGCAAGCATGTAGGGACTCAGGTTGTGCATCTCCTCCACAAAGCACCACACAAGTAGTGCAGCACCCCCTAACTGTAATGGCCATGTACTAATCCAGAGGGAAAAAAGCCAAATTGAACTGTCTACACTGGCCTTGGCCGTCCCCCGTGCTTTCTTAGCCATCCCCAGCACCAGCAAAGCAGGTCTCCACTTCTCTTCACCTGTGCGACTGTGCAGGACCAGTCACACAAAGCAGCACTGCAGGATGGCATAAAGCAGACCTGAGCATGAAAGCACAACCAATCTGACTTATGTCCTGCCTGCCCTACAGCCTCTTCTTCTTTTCCAGTTAACCCTTCTGGTGCATTTTAAAACCTGCTTTCACAAAGGTCCACAACAAAACGTTTTCTGGACAGCAGTCAAAGTGCTGTCCCCCTCCTCATCACTCCCAGATACCATGAACAGTCTTACATCTTCATTGCTTCCAAGTAGGGGACAACCAGAGCGCATCCCACCAGATAAACACATAGTACTATCTAAAGCAGAGAGAAAGTTATTGCTTTATGTCTCTACCAAAGCCCCTGCTTGCAGGAGCGCTGGCTTGTCACTCAAAATAATTCTCAGCAGGACAATTCAACTACCCCCAAATCAACCTTCTCTCATACCCTAAATGCTCTTCTAATGTTGTTTTATTGTTACAGGTTGCAAGTTTGTGATGTCCTGCTGACATGTGAACCTTCATTTCTTCCCAAGATGTCACTTTGGCATACTTGGTTACTTTCCTATTGACCCTGAGAGCCCTACCAGCAAAAGAATTAGCATCTCTAAATCTCTTACTTCTTCTCTCCCTGTCCCAACAAATTGAATTGTACCGATCTAACTTACACCCTTCCCAATAAAGCTGTAACAATTGAGTCTTTCATTTCTGGATCCCACGGCACTGGGCAACGGGATGTGCTATTCAGCAAATAGCAGTACCGCATAAAGGGAAAGGAACTTCATATTCTCCCCCACTGCTTCTCAGCACGGAGAGATAAGTAGGTTGGAACTGTGAACCACCCCACAAATGAGACTTGAGACAATGTCCTTCTTTCTTGTGCCCAAAAACTATTTTAAAAAACTATGGGATTTCGGGTAATAAATTTTGCTGTTCTGGCCTAATTTCAACTGCAGTAACTATGTTTCTCCCTTTAAAATCCCCCTTGCTGTTTCAGCTGAATATACTGCCTGTGCCTGCCTTCCCTGCATTGTTTTTCAGTGTTCCTGTAAACAGCTGTGCTTGGAGCCTCCACTGTGGCAGCTCATGTTAGCACTGGATGGAATTTATCTATCTGTATCTCGCACTGGCAAAGTGGTATCACTTCATTAAGTTGGTTATTTCTGCTATTTCAATTCAATTGCCGTTAAGGGCTATGTAAGTTAAAAGATACAGTAATTGGTATGGATGACTCACATGAAATTGAATGACTGGTTTTCCCCCATACCTAAATAAATGCACATATATAACATTTTAGTTTAGTGATATATGTACTGCCCTCTTCACTGTGCAATGGAAAGGACTACTGTTATGTAGTCCATCCCTCTGGCAGTGCAGTTCCACACCGTACTTCATCATCCATGCTCATCAGCAAATGAAAGACCTGATTGTACAGCCCTCCCAATGCAAAGCTGACATTGCTGCTAGAAGCTTTTTTTGCTCAGAGTAGCCTGACATTGGTAAAAGTTAGTTAATTCAAACTGGAACATAATGCTAAACCTCGAGCATAATGCTCACATCAGGGATGATAACAGGCAAGTATTTATTTTTCCTCTTGCTAAACTGCAGGTCTTTCTGTATGCCAAACTCTCAACTGCTTCTCTTGTCGTCCAACTCTCTTTAAGAAAAATAGCTCTGCACCTTCCCTCATCCAGGACTGACCATTTCAAGCTCAGGACTCTCTGATCTTATTGCAGTTACCTCTTGTCTGAGCTACCGTATTCTCAGCCGATATCTGGGGGCATGGAGGTCAGGGGGAGGAGGAGAGGAGAGAAAGATAACAGGCAGGGTAGTGAAAATATTAGCTCAGCTGCCCCCTACACCTCACACGCATCCCTACTCTACCCCACCCCCCAGTATCTATTCTGTCTCCATCCAGCAGTGAAAGGACAATATGGGAACTGTAGTGGAGTCCAGGAGGGGCAGATGGGATGTTCCCAGTTCCTCGCTACAGCCCTGCAACACTCTAGTCTCGTGGACTTCGGGAGGATTTCCAAGTCCGGGAGGAGGCAACGCTAAGCGCAGTTCTGATTTCCGAACCTAGCTCCCTAAAAGCCTGCTACCCCCTTCCACGGCCAGGTGGATGGGAGAGGGCATCACAACGTACAGCTGGCCACCTCTGTCCACACTTAGGCAGACCGAGAGCCCTAGCCCAGTCCTTTCCCCACACGCAGCGCTACTCATGCAAGAGTCATGCAGACGCGTCACCGAAGCAATCTTCCGATTGTTCATTCATTGTGAGCAACTGGGCAGTGACTCCCCTTCCCAGGGATAAACCAGCTCCAGGTTGTCTAGCCCTCAGCCTTGGGAAAGGTCCGGTCTGCACTCCTACCGGTAAAAAAAAGGGGGGACGCGCGCTCTGCTCCTCCGCTAACAGAGTGAGAATAAAGAGGCATTTACCATCCTGCCCAGAGCTCTCCAGATACTCTGTGAGGTCGCAGCCGAATGCACTTGTGGCTCCCTTCCTCTTGAGTTTCTGCTTGGCTCCCTTGTTCTTCATGAGGTTAGTCCCAAAAGAGGTTCGCCCCCCTCCTGCCTTGCCCCCCTCCCCCCGGCCTCACGCTGGGCAACAAAAATCTTGCTCTTCTCAGACCACGGCCCGTGTCCCGCTCCCAGGGAGTAACATCGGGGGTCCCGTACAGCGTCCAGCTGGAGAAGTAAACATTAATCCCCACCAGATGTTGGGCTGCTCCTGTGGCAGAGGAAGGTCAGGGTGAGAGGAGGCTCCCCAGCCAGCAGCAGCAGCGATCATAGCCCGAGCCCAGAAGGGTTCTCATCAGAGGGAAGTGGGTGGTGGACGGGTGCCCGCATCGGAGCTGGCAAGTTGGGGGCAGGCGATGGCGGGGGGCACGTCTTTCCCTCAGCACGGTCCCGGGACCCTCCACGGCCACCTTCTAGGTTTCGTCAGCCACGCTGTCGCCACTTCCAGCAGAAAGCGTCCCAGTCTGGTCTTCCTTCTCTCGGCTTTCGGAGGAGACTGGAAGTTCAAACGGACTAATGAAAAGGGACCGGGGAAGAGTCTGCACAAGGCTCCTCTTTGGCTCCCCCCCTTCCCCTCCTCCTGCCTTCGGACAGTTAGAGGAATGAGAAACCAGCTTCCTGTCCTGACTCCCGCTCGCTCGCTCTCTCCTTTCCCCCGTCCTACAAATCCTAGGATTATCCAGCTCAAAAAAATGCTGAAAGGAAGTTAGCTGAGGAGGGGGGCGGAGGACGGGTTTTGGCAGTAAAGGGCATATGTGTGTGTGTGCGTGTGCGAGAGGATGAGGGAAGGCGGGGAGAGGAGTTGGGGGACGGGGATGGGAACGGGGGGAGGAAGAGGGAAAGCCTGTCCTGACAGTCGACAGATAACGGACTGCCTGAGAGGAAATCACTGCGAGCTGAGCCGAGCCGCAGCCTGCGGCATGGTCAGGCGCTTCCTGCGCTACCAACGCTCAGCTCTGAAAAGGCCCGAGGAGGGGCCGGTGAGGAGGAGAGAGACCAGGAGCCGCTCCAGTAAATCTCTGCCTCTGTTCATCGAGTCCTTCATTGCAAGGTGCCTTCCTGCTCTTGAGCATGACCCTGTCACTTCAGGATTTGCCTTCCTCTTCAGAGGCGCAGGCTGGAGCTACTGAAGTGCAAGAAGGGGGCAGAAAGTTGGGAAAATAAAGAGAGGCAGGAGGAGGGAAACCTTCAGCTCCCTCCTCCCTGGCAAGCAGAAACAGATGCTGTCCGGGCATCTAAGTTCACGTACTTTTGAGTCAGCTCCCAAAAAAATGCTCCCCTTGACCAACGAAGGGGTTTAGAGATAAGGAACAGAAATCACCCAGTAGCGGCAAGAAGGGAAACGGGACGGGTCTGCCCTCAGGCCCCGAGTCTTGTTCCCCCCCGCCCCCACCTTTCTAGTCTAACCTTCAGTACACGCATATCTCTGCTCATAAGAGTAGTCACTTGCACTTACTCCACATTTTTTATCCCAGAAATTCAGACCTCTTTACAGGGCTGGGTATGCTGGTGGGCCGCATGCTTCACCTAGGGAGGCAAACTTAACTCTGCTAAGGCTTCACTACCCCCTCTTGCTCCATGCCAAATATAACTGTATGGGTCTGGGTGAAAAATAATAAACAAACAAATTAAAAACAGGAAATTGCAGCTTTTCACCAAAAATCAGACCAAAGACGGGGAGAATAGTTTTGGTCTGGAGGAAAACTAGCCAGGAAATGGGCCAAAGGACTCCCTAAACCCACCTCCCTCCTCAATCCTGGGCTCTGCACCCTCATGCAGCAGAGAAACCCCATCTCCTCCCACAGACCTCTGCAAACTTACCACCTCACCCCTTTATTTTGACAGAGTTGTTTTTCAGAGAAATCAAGCCTCCGACTGTGATCTGACCGCTGCCAAAAGCAATTCAGGTTCTGTCTGTTGGTATGGTGACGACTTTTTTTTTTCCTCAAAAGTGTTGGATGTTATCACTTCACATAGAAGAAAAAACACCAAGAGGCCTAGTGAAGGACCTTCAGCAATTATAACTCCTATTGTGCAGTTTATCACCGTAATTATCGTCATTATCCCCGTTTCACAGCTTGCTGGCTGAAGGGTTGAGGGGAAAATGATTTGCAGAAGGGTGGCAGAGAGATGTCTGGCCTGTCGGCTACCAGCCTCCTGCTCCCACTCCCAGGCTAAGGGGGAAAACTGAGCTCCTGCCACCAGACTGATGCTTGTTCTCAGGGACCCTCAGTGCTCATGAAACACTTAAAACTTCCTTGAATGTATTCAAGGCTTCTCACAGCACCTTGATGTTGAGTCGGCGCATGGGATCCCTCCCTATAATGACGTGCCGCCAAACCCATCGCGTGCCATAGCACATCCTGCCTGCCTGCCAAGGGGCAGACTTCAAACGGGGCGGACAGACAACAGGACGCTCAGACCTGGGTGTCTCGCCAAGCTGTCCTCCCACTGCCCAGGCAGCTGGCTGCCTTCTGTAGGAAGAGAAACCCCTCTCCTTGCCCCCTCAGGGAGGAGGCATGTCCTCCCACACAGGCCAGCCCTCTCCAGCAGGGCTGAGCCCCAGCACTGGTCCAGCGAGGGGGACCTGCTTCACCATGGCAAGTAACTACACTGTCTTCTTCGAAGTCCTGAACTCCTCTCTGCAGACACCTCCCTCCCTCCACGAACCAAACAGGGTGTTTAAACTCCCCGTGCTGTTCTCATCCATCACCCTACATGAGACGGCATCACTAACAGGGTCTGTGTCCACAGCACTTGCCTGTCCCCTCTGCCTGGTGACCAGCTGCACCACACTCCTGCCATCACCTCCATGCCCTCCCTCATCTTAGATACAGTTTCCCCCCTCCTCCCTTGCAAGCCTACCCAAACAGGATGTCTTCAGAAGAGGATGGTTTCATTTAAAAAGAAAAATAAATTCAATAAATAAAATCAACCCCTGCATGTATACAGCTTCCTCATGTCACCAGCAAGGGAGCAACAGCCCCAGATGCAGTGGGGAGCACCCTGGCATGGCTGCCATGCAGCACGGGCCCCCTCCCCTCCCTTGCGCAGCCCTGCTCCAAGGGGCCTCAGTGGCCCGTGGGCCCAGAGCGTGGGGACTCAGCTGCACCACGGGGTCAGCCCGCCACCCTCACCCCTTGGCATTTCTCACAGGCCGGTAGGCAATTTCAGCTGAAAGCACCATTTCTTGGAGTCGGCTCTGTGGTGGTTCCCTGCAGCCGCTGAAGGGGGCGTCATCCTTCAGAGCCATGGCGGTGGGTCCCGCTGACCGATGAACACTGCAGAAAACGAGCACTGCCGTCTGATTTTGGTTATCATCTGGGGGCTGTGCTGTGCTGCCCTGACCCCAGCTGGGCTGCGGGTGGGTGATGGCTGCCCAGGGCCAGGCCACAGGACCACCACCAGCCGTTGCCACTGGAGTGCCATGGTGGGGTGCAGGGAGAGACTGCCATCCCCCTGCCAAGAAAAAACAGTATTTGAAGCACAAATCCAGGGAAGAGGAGCTAGAAACAAAACAGAGAGGATTCCCGCTTTATTCCTAGAGGCTGTCTCAGGCATTGCAGTTTGCTGCCTTGCTGCCCGTGCCGGGTACCCCATGGAGGGAAGAGGGAGCCGGAGGAAGGAAATAGCATGGCAGGCGGGGTGAAAGAGGCATGCCCCACGGCGAGTGAAAGAAGGTACAAGGAGCTCCAGGAGAGCTCTTTCCAGGCAGGCTGGGCTACGGGGGTGGCCTTCCCCGTGCCAAGATGAAGTTCAGTGAGAGGACAGAGGGGAGGTCGCTGCAGGATTGCCCGGGGAGCCCAGGGCCAGGAGGAGGAGGAGGAGGAGGTCAGGCAAGGTGAGCAGGAACCAAAGAAGGGAGGCTTTACAAACAAAGCACTTCGTATTGGAGCCTGAAATAAGTGCTGAGCCAGGGGATTTTTTTCAAGGGAAAGGGGCAATGTTTTCCTCCATAGAGCAAAAAAATAAGAAGTCTGGATTTGCACAGCCTGAGAGGCAGGGGAGGTCTCTGCAATAGTTAGGGTGAGCGGCAGGGCTAAGGAGTAAGCCAGTGTCCCTCCTGGAAAAGCTTTCACAGAGAACAAGCAAAGCCGGAGAGGAAAAGAGCTTGGGCCACAAGTATGAAAAGCAAAAAGGAGTTCAAAGCTGAAACAGCTGGAAAAGAAGGGGGAATTTCTCTCCCTCCTAAAAAAAAAAAACCCAGAAGATGACAAAAGTGAGTCTGCAGAATAAGAGTGACACCAAGCTAAGCCAGAGCTCTCACAGAAGCAATCTCTCCATAGAGATTACTTCCTAGTCCCCCGCCGCCGTACAAACAGCGTGATGGCCAGCTGCCCCACAGTACCGCAGCCCAAATCAGAAAGTCATGGCCCACGACACTTGCTTTAATTCCTTCCCTTTGAACCTGTAAAAATAGGTCAGGATTTGAAGTTAGTCACAAAGGCCTCCCTGTCAGAGAGGGCCGCAGGTTCATGCAGGAAGGTGGGGCACCTTCCCATCCCGCTTTGCTGCTGACCTGCGATGCCTCGCCCTTCGGCTTCAGAGCAGATACGGCAAGCCAGCATCTGTGTGAATGAACATAGGACAGATAATGACTTTACAGTTCTCTCCGTTCTCACAGACAAGGTATCGGTGACCCCAGAAGCAGTCAGAGAGCCTGGAGAAGAGCTTTGGCCATTAGGCCTAAGTATTTCTTCCCCTTCTAGGAGCTGGGGGCCACAGTGGAGACGTCACACAGGCTATTTCTGGGCACCCATCTCTCCCCTCCCTGCTGCATTTCCTTCATTGTGTTTGAGCTCTTTCCTATCCGTGGCTTTAAAAACTCCACCAATCTGCCAGGCGCCACTCAGCACAAAAGAGCAGGAGGGGCTGGGTAGTGGAAGACCCGGGGAGGGGGGAATCTGAACCCCTAAAAATAGCCCTGCCGAGTACGACTGTTTTCCTGACACAGACGGTTCATTGTTAGACCCTGACACGCCAGTTCACCATGCCTCCCCACCCCTCGACACACTCTCT